TTGAGACTGTCTTAACGCTAGGCTGGCGAAATAAAGAGGCCCGCAACGTTAACGCTGAAGGACAGATGACGAGATTCTGAAGCTCACAAGGCTCAGACAAGTCAGACTTCAGAGTTCCACGTGCTTCAGACGAGTCAGACTCCAAAGGAGGGTTTGTGGAACTGTTGTTTTATGAACTATTGTTTACGCCCATCTTGACCAGGCACAACGCACAACCAAGATGGACACAAGAGTTAAGGCAGGTTCATTGGGCTGCTATTTAATTCAATTCGACACCGATGACTGCACAAGACAGCAAATATTGATCTGATTAATCACCGAACCTTGAAGGAATGGTGTCTACCAATTTCTTAGCACGAACAAAAAATATGATGCCAACAGTCTTTGATTTTTGAACCACATCTAATGCTAAACACCTGAAATATTGCCACTTCGCTGTGCCCCAGCCGTAATGCTGGAGACTAAAAGCCTGCTGACAGTGAAAAAAATGCCTCGCCAAAAGAAAGAGACCACCTGATTCAGGCAGGGGCACAGCCAGAATTTGTGACAGGGCGGGGGTTATCATGATAGCAACCAACAAACGCTCCAAGGTGCGGTATCTGGAGTATCAATGAGTGATCAATGTTGGTTTGCCACGGTATCTTAAAGAAATGTTTCAGCTGTGTGCCGTGCATATTATTCCGCTCTTCGCTAGCGTTGTTACTAAATTACGATTTGGGGGCTCGACGTGTCATTGTCCACGGTAGTGTTTATGAGATTGACGCCGAAATACTTATTCTGATCACCGGATTCCGAAATTATATTCAGTAGTGTCGTGGTGAAAAACTGCACTGGAGCCTGATGGGGGCTTAAGACCCATGGGTCCTTTTCCTCCCTGTGGGACCGCGTCACTGTGTTCAGTTCAGTAAACAACAATTTTCTACACGCAACACAAAATGATATCGTGGCAGGCTTCAGTGAGTGATGATTTCGTTAAGAGCATGATTCACTTAGACCTTAAAGTTTCTTGTATTACGTTATTAGTTTTCCTTGAATGAAACTCATTAGAAAAGTATTTTTTTCATAGACGACAGCTTGAACGCCCAACAATGGTTTGCACTGTCATTCCCCGAGCAGTAACAGCGGCAACTGTAACTCAGGTCTCTCTTTCAATGCACTTCGAAACGCATGATGATGCTCATCTGTCAAGCTGTGCATCTGCATGTCTCATATGCAGAGAAATGGAGCTCATCCAACCGCTCGATTATGCAGATCCAAAACTTTCTCTCGCCTAATAGCTGCATCCACATGTAAGAAACTGATGGAGCGTTCCTCGCAGCCGTCCGGCGGAAAAGACGAATCGCCGCCAGTGCGCGCCCCGACCTTCATCATCGCCAGATAATTAGCGCCCTCGCGTCGCGCGCGAAGCACAGGCACCATCCCCTGACGCTGCCTTCATCACGCTCCCGCCCCGTCATTCGCAGCGAGCCGGCACTAAATCTCCGCCCCGAGCACAAACGGGCCACCCGACGAGCAGCTGCCGCGCCCATGTTCGCCGCTCCGCTCATAGATGGCAGCAGCTGCGCCCGACGGCCGCGACAGCGCGACGCGCCGCGTTTGGCGGCGGCATCAGGCGTGACGCTGCTCGCTGTAACTCGCCAGTTACGAAAGAAATGTCGCGGACTGGGTGGGGCACCGGCGCGCCCAGGTGCACAGGCTCAGCGCTGGATGACAGAAGGTGGCTGCGTTCGTCGGTGTCGAAATCGACGCGTGCTTCGCCTATCTTCAGACACCGGCTTCGGGGGTCGCCCACCAAAGCGCCGGTCGTGCTCTGTGACTGCTGACTGTGCGCGTGGGTTCGGTACCGGTCCGGCGCCGAGGCTCTCCTGTGAGACGGCGCCGCTCTGCGCCGGCTTTGTGGCTGCGACAAAGGCGCCGCCCCAGCCTTTGGGACCGCGGACGCGGACACAAAGCCGAGAAAGCTAAACGACAGCACTCGGCCGTAACTAAGGGATGATTGATGGCAGGGGCGTTTCGCCCACGGAGAGGATTTCCCAACTTAGCTTCACATTCCGGGTCTGGTCTGAATCGTGTCGTTCATCGGCTCACAGTGGTAAGAAAAGGATTCCCTTCAGCTGTACGGTGAGGTGATGGTTATCATGGCATGATCGACCTTCGAAGACGACGCATGTCAACATCGAATGTCAACCATGCTGCGTCGAAAAGAGTGTCCAGATCGCCTGATACATCAGCGCGTCATGTGCTCTGCGCCAAACGAGGATCCTTTTATCTCATAGATATTTAGCCACGTGCTACTGTTAAACGGTGAGATTTATCAGTTGGCTGTCTACAGGAAATGAAGTTGTTTCATCAGAGGTTGGGCTTAATATTGTGTCTACAATGCCACGCTCAACACTGCTCATTGCTAGCCTTCCATTCTGGTTACGGCGCATTTTCCTTTCATTTATTTCCATTCTAGTAACGGTACCGGTTAAGTTCTAGTTCCACACCAGCATTCCGTCTGCCTACCAGCCTGAAGAAAGAGGCGAGTAGGTATGCACGCCAAACACGCGATTGGAAAGAGTTGAGGAGCTGCAGGTGACTCACTACCTTTCGGGGTTTTCTGCACCTCTTGTCCGTCATGTTTTCGGTGGCATCCCAAATCGTTAGGCGTACAGAATGTGAAATGTCCATGACGATGAAGGCAGTTAGAATTGCTGATTCCAAACCAACCGGTTCCATCATCCCGCCTGCATCATAACAGCGTCGTTACTGGACATCTCCATCACTGAGACAATTAAGGCCAGGCAAATCGCGTTTTTCAGCAGCATAACTGTGATGTATGCAGACGAGAGCACGAAGGAGGCAGACAGTGGTTATGCATCGGCTCACGGTGCAGCTGTCCCATATATTAGTAACACAATACCGACCGGTTTGTTGAATAATGCGTAAATCTATAGACTAACATCAGGCCGACACCGGCCAACATGACAGCTTGTGTGTGTAAATTGTTCCTGAACTACCGGTTGTTCTTGTTTCGTGTGAAACCCAGGTTTGATCGCTTGCTATACATGTGTGGACCGTGGATGTAATCAATGCTATGGTAACAAAATGTAGCTAATTAACCTATATGTTTGGATGAAATTATTACCACCGAGTTTGGCGTCGCAACCTCACTCTCCCTAAAGTACCCTATCTCAGCTGTCCTAGACACAAGACCATGGTATTTCTCACAGCCGACCAACATCCCTGGAAGTGGCGCCCGTTCTCGTCATCCGTTCCGCGCCACCTCAGCGCGATGACGAATGCACGTGAGCGAGGTGCTGTGTGTACTTACTGCCGCTATTGTCTCTGCAGCCATGATTCATGAATTCCGTCCGCATGAGGTATAACGGGAAAGCACGGAAAGTCCTTACCATGCAGAACGAAGGTTATGCATGGACCGGGACAGTATGTTTTTACCGTTCTGTACATTGATAGGGTTGGCAGCGCTGTAGGCGTGTTTGTCGTCCCTCCCCCCCCCCCCTCTCTGTCATGAAACGAACTGGTAGCTCGTTATCAGAACTAGACCACAATTCTAGCAACAAATCGTCCGAAAAGTGGCATCCAAGCTCCGGGTGTGCTAGGATTGTGTGCAGGAAGAAAAAGTGGCCCACGAATATTGGATGGTGAGGCAATGTTCTCTTTACAACGCCCGTGCTACAAAGAGTAAAAACAGCCCAATTAAAGTTGTCTGTCTCTCGTGTGTTGTTCATCGCATTGTGAGGAACACTATCCGCATAGATAAGAGAGCAGTAATAGCCTTATTCCTCAGAAAAAAGAACAGGGATTGCTATACCTCCATTCTCCTGGCTTTTCTCCGAGGAATAAGGCTATTACTACCGTTTTGTTTGTCTCTCACCACCGTTGAACTTAAAGCTTATGTTTTAATACTAGACAAAATGTGTTGAACGTGGTGTAGAGTAATTTTGGGATCAGAGTATTGTTAAGCAAAGTTTGCTGCAAAAAAAAAATACGGACCTCATCTGCCTAGACCACCAATTTTAGCCCAAGAAATAATTGTTATCGGAATATTTCGCCGTGCTTTGTATGATGCCAGGTCAGGGCCACCATTCACCAGCAAAGCCCTCTGGTCAAGTGCCAGGTCATTGCCGGGCACGCGTCACGAAAGCGCGGCTCTTAAGACGCGAACCCAGCTGTCCGATTGGTCACTGTTCAGACATCCAGAGGCCTTCAAATTACGCATAGGTTGTGACGTATGCGCTACGTCACCGTTTGTTTATGCGCAGCAAATCACATGTGGTTATGTGCTTTGTGATATACTGTTTAAAGTGGTTTGAATCAGTTGTTTTAAGCTGTGCCACCGAATGAAGAACATGATCACTTCTACCCTGAAGACATTGTAATGTAATGGAGAACAGGGTGATTTACCGGTTCCCACCAATTAACGAATATGCGCCTGAAAAGGAGGCGGATTGAAAGCGAGCCTGCAGGTTCTTCAAGTATTAGATTCCTCTGAAGTACTATCATAAAGGAAGCTATCATTTTTGTCGGTCTGTATTACAGCCGGCGGTGGCTGGGTCATTTACCACAAAATATGCGGAATACATGCAACCTGATGGCCGTAATTCGAAGGCTCTTTAACAAAGAAATGGTGTCGTGGAGACGGCACCGGCAGTTCTTATCGAACTCTGCACAGTAACAGGCCCTTACGCCGGGAGCTGAGGCCTCGGTTGACAGTTTTGTTGTGCACGTCAGGTAAACTTTCTTCCTCTTGCAGTCGTCTTTCGCCGATTCGCTTCACATCCCCCTAAAGTAACGCAGGTCATTAGTGCGACTCTCGAGGCACGCCGCCCTGACTGCGCCTCTGACCGGGCTCCCTCACCACTCGGCCAGCACGTTCTTGCGGTGCCGGGTGTACGCATGCGCCTGGCGCGGCGCGAGGAGCCGCGCATGCGCGCTGCGGCCGGCCAGGTAGGTGGCAGGTGTGGAGGTCGCCGGCCGGCCAGTGCCGACAGGAGCGCTCGTGGGGAGGGATCGGTGCGGTAGTGGGCTTGGCCGCGTGCTGGTCTGTGCTGGTGAGCCAGCTAACGCCTCCGACGGGGAAGCGTCACCTCCACCTGAGCCATCTGGGTAGTGGGTGCGAGCCTGCCCGGACGTCTGCCCGTTAGACGTCCTGGGTACGGATCGCCAGCTTGCCGTCTGAGATCGGCGCCTTCGCAACGGGGCTGCAGCGGCGGCACGAGGTGAGAGGACTTACCGACTGTGGTGAAGGCCACCTGCGATCTCCTCTCGCAGAGGCGTGCAGTGTGCGTTACCTCACAGTAGGTAGATTCGTTATCGCCAACGGACCAATTCACGCGCGCTTCAAGCAGCCCGCACCAGGTATGACGCCAGTATGAGGACTAACATGGCAAAAGAAACCGATGGCTTACGCCGAATTATTCGACGTCAAGGTACTTTGGCCGCACCCAACCAACGGATGGAGAAGCCGCTCCATTACAGCCATATCCGTGCCTGCTCTCGACCCGGGTGGTCCCGACCCGTCGCGCGCGCGCGCGCGCTCTCTC